ATGTTTGTTGAATGTTGAAGACTCCATGAACTTGTTCTTAAATCTTTATGAGAATGTTTTATGTTTTAACATCTTATTACTACTGTAATGTTTTTATTCATGAGTTTAAATGTGCTTGTGGGTGATTAGTTGGCTATTTCTTGATTAAGTAAAGGATCTTCAAATTAGCAAGCAATAAGTGATTTTTGTGTTAGTTTTGCTTCACACAATCATAAAAATATTTTCACCAACCTAGTAGTGAAAACATTTGACTCCTCTTGGATTTGGTGACTTTTTGGTTCTTAATTCTAGTTGACTTTCACTAATTACATGCTTAATGGAAATTATGACTTTGACTAAGAAAATTGTTATGAGCTTCTCTAACCATTTTAACAACTAAGAAAAGTCTAGGTTATCTCAAGCTTCTTGGATTACTATAGCCAAATTAAAGATTCAAAACAAGTATTACACCATTGGATTCTAATGATATGTTCATCAAAAGTCAAAGTGAGGAAACCTTAAGTCAACCAAGTTCTCCTTATTGATTTTACATCAAAATATTGTTTTTGTTAAATTGTCCATTTAAATCTTAGTTTAGTTTTAGTTTATTTCAAGTATTTCAAAAGACCAAAACCCCCATTTTATTTTTATGGTTATTTAACAAGTATTTTTACAAAGAGATTTTTCATAGAGTTATAAAATTGAACCAATCTCCGTGGATTCAACCCCTTTACCACCATACACTATTTTAGTGTAGAAGATTTAGGGTTATTAATTTTTTTGGCCTCGAAAACCCCCAATATCTTCTTTCTTTCCCAATAATTTCTTCAAATACCGTACATGAAACACAATCCCACTAAGTTACGAAGGTAATTCCAACTTAAAGGCTTGAGAACCAATCTTCTTCAACAGCTTGAATGGTCCAATGTACATCGGACTTAACTTACCCTTCATACCAAAAGTCAAAAACACATCACCCCTTTCCATGGTGATATTTTCAACTTTATAAAGTCACCCAGATTCATCTCAAATGGTATTTTCTTCATATCCACGTAACTTCTTTGGCTATCTTGGGATGCTTTCATGTGCGCTTGGACAATCTTTATCTTTTCATTAGTAATTCTCACAAATTCCAGTCCAATAAGCTTCTTCTCATGCTCTTCAAGCCAAAACAAAGGTGTTCTATAATTTCTTCCATACAATGCTTCATACAGGGGTATTCCAATACTCGAATGGTAACTATTATTATAAAAAAACTCTACTAGTGGAAAATGTTCATCCTATTTACTACTAAAATTAATGGCACATGCCCTCAACATATCTTCCACAGTTTGGATTTCTCGCTCGCTTTGGCCTTCGTTTTGGGGATGATAAGGTATCTTCATAAGAATTTATGTCCCTAACTCTTCTTGCAGTGCATGCTAAAACTTAGAAGTGGACCTCGGATCTGTTGGATTTGGTGTCTAAGCCCATAACTATAATTGGTATGTACTTGACCCGATTGTAGCATGGTCATTTTGGGTTGCCTTCACCAGTGCAATTTGATAGGATGGAATTTTGAGAATAAGGTTATTTATGATTTATTAATATATTACAAGTATAATATATTAATATGAAATCATATTATTTAATTAGTATTGATCAAGAATTAATTTGGAATTAATTTTGTGGTTAAAGGAGACTAATTAAATATATGGGGATTGATTGTGTAAATCAATGATTCTTATAGTATGGGCAAATGATCCATGATTATTTAGATGGGTTAAACCAATGAGATAATCCATGGATAGTCCATGGAGGTTAAACCCATGGAGCATAAGAATGTGAAAGGTCATTAGGGTTTACAAAGTGTAA